ACCACAGAGTCATCAAGAGATGAACAATTGATCGAAATAAACCGCTTAATGAGGATGAGGTGATTAAAAGCCTACAGAGCCATCACGAGACAAACAATTGATTGAGATAAACTACTTAACAAGGTTGAGGTGACTATTTTGGCGTCGGAAACTGGAATATAACGAATTACATGGACGCGGTTCAGGCTGAAGTCAGCGGAATTGCAGCACAGCCCCCAACTAATAGCGACACAACGGAACATGTATATTTATATATATATATATATATATATTATACATTAGTCATCTGTGATAGAAACGCTCACACCAAAGCCCATAACCAATACCCTCCGCCCCAGCCCCAGCACACATACCTGGTACATAAGCACTGGCACACACTCTCAATGAGATAGACCCAGACTCGCAATCTACACACCCGGCAACGGCCATCTGAGGCACCAACCGTAGAGCCTTCAACAGACGCAAGCCCTGGCAGGTGTTTATAACCCTCTCTCTACACTTACCACCGGTACTTGCGCTAGTATACTCCCGTTTACAGTGTGTACGCCACTCGACACGGGTATCAGCAGACATCTCCGCATACGCATTCTCCTGTGAACAAGTGCTGTCTACCCCTTTCATAGACGTGTCCTGCACGCTCGTGATAGTAGAGCCATCCGTGCAGGTATCCTGCACATTCGTAGTAGTAGAGACATCCGTGCACGGGCCAATACGAACCGTCTCAGTGTGTTCATCCAGCTCCTTCGCCACGTCCAACACCACAGCCCCAGGATATACTCTGTACGCTGATGTGGCTCCACCGACACCGTCCGCTTGGCTACAGCCAGGGCTGGCAGGGTGTATGGGGTGACCCGTGTGTAAGTGACTACTATGGGCGCTTGTCTCTGCATCCGTGTTAGTATGACTGTTATGTGTATGTGTGGGTGTATTAATATGACTGTCATGTGTGTGGGTGGGTGTATCCGTACTCGCAGGCATACTATCGGTGCGTCGGTGAGCCTCCGCGTGCGTGTGACTACCCTGGATGTGTGCCCGTATCTGTTTATCTGGCAGTAACCTACGTCTCTCCATGCATGTCTGCCCCCTTATATCCGCACAAACACCATTCACGTGCGTCTTTCTCTCGGCTTGTTGTATATGTGTATCGTGCAAGGGACGTGTATGAGTGTCTACTCTCCTATCCTCCTGCATGTGTGGTTCTTCGTGTTCGAGTACGACACTCCTCTCCACCTCATCGCTCACTAACAGTGTCATACCATCTAGCCACACGACACGCACATGCACCGGACCACGCACGCCGTTTGGAGCGCTTTCATTGGTTTCCGAAATAGACGTGTTTTCATTGGTCGAGGGAAGCGGCCCGGGGCTTGCGTCGACCGTCTTCTGATTGGTTGAGTCTTCCGATGCTGTATCTCTATTGGTCGAGGATTCCAATGCTGCGATTTCATTGGTCGATGGCAATTCTTGTCGGCCCAGTTTGGCCAGTACAGATGGAGTGAGCGGTAACTGGAATCGACAGTGATAGAGACACTCCACAACATGTGCGCTTAAGGTATGGCTTTTCTGTAGCGCCTCGGTCTCCTGTAAATGTGAACACGGTGTACAAGGTTAGAATTGGGTTGTACTATATTTTGACAGCAGGTACATAAGGTGAGGATTGGGTTAACCTACACCATGGTACACACTCTTGAGACTTCCTAAAGACCGGAAGAGTACCAGTACACATCGCTCAGAGCTAGAGCTTCTCGTTGCATAACTAGATACACTATGCTGGTGTCGTTGTATTGGGCCGCATCTACCAGCTGCAGATATAAACCACCAATGCGTACATATTTATCTACCAGCTGCGGATATGAACCACCAATACG